AAAGCAAAACCATTACTGAAAGCAAAGTATTTTTATTGAGACCCCTATGTAACTTGGTCTCTTAGTCACTGATCTTGGCAACACTGATAGACCTTTAGTGATGCACTGTACAATACAAATCAGCATTTGCACGTTTCAGCAGCATAAAATTACTGAACCATGAGGAGAGTAAAGAAGGATACAGCACTGACACCACCATGTTCTCTTTTTTTACCCCCCTAGTCAGAAGTTGAAAAATGCACTTGGAGCAATACAGAAGTTTGACCTAACTCTCCGCTACCAAGGAGGGAGCTAAGATAGCAGAAGCCGGAGGGAGTCTTACACCAAGCAGAGTTGGCTGAATTGAAATCTTGATTAACAAAGTGCCTCTGGATACAGCAAATCATTACTCCTGTCTTCACTTCAGAGGACGTTGGATTAGTGTTAGATAGAAATCCAGTATTTTCTCAAATTTCAAGAGCATTCTTAGTAACCAATATGTGAATATTAACTACGTAACATTCTAACACCACAGATTTCTTGATAAAATTAGGAAAAGTACTAATCCGTGCAATAGGTGACCAAGAAGGCTTCTGCACAGTAGACTGAATAGCAGGATGTGTGGTAAAAATTTTGTATGTATTATATTTCTCAAAAAACATCTAAGTTCTGTTTTAGTTCTTTTAAAATCTGCGTGCATTGGGTTCAGTTAATTGTCATCCACACAGATAAACTAACAGCTCTGTAGATGAGAAGACAGAAGAGTTTGGACCTGGGGCCATCAGGAAAGGAGACAACTTGGCAAAAGCCTGGAATATCTTAAAACCAAAAATCTTTCCATTTATGCTAATCGGAATGTAAGAGTAAAGTAATTTTCTAGCAAGCTTGAGAGATATTTTGAAGCAGTGGAAGAAAACTAGCCTACCTTAGGTGTTCTAATATTTCAGGTAAAATACAGCTGTTTGTTTCATAGACAGAAATGTATGTGCAGCTCCATGAAGAGCAATTCTCAGACTTACGTTTGAAAACTGGTTAGTAATTCAGATGTGTTGGTACAGTTGTAGAAGTTACATTTCAAAGTTGAAGAGGGTAAAATCAGTGCCCATTCAGAGGCCGAGAATAATAAATTCTGCCTTTTTATTTTAATGTGATCACTACTTGGTTGCCTAAAAAGTAGTGCCTGACTAAGAAGATAGCATAGATAAGGAGGCCAAGTAGAATTGTAACTTGTGCAGAGATTGCTTTGCAACTTGAGTTTCCATAGCATTAAGCCTCTCAGTGAAAAATCAAATATTTTCTCTCCATTTGGAACATGTGCCTCAATTTCAGCATACAGGGAGGTAAAGCAGTCTTCAGTCATGGCCTCAGGCTAAATTAACTGAAAACCAGTTTCCTATGTCCTAGTATGTCAGTGCTAGACATGCTTGAGAGGAATTCCTTTCCCTGTTTCTTATCACCTATGCTCTGAAATGTTTCCAGGCTGCCACTATTTAAGTGCTTCCTTCACACTCCTTCCCATAGTGCATATGCTGCACTTTCACATGCCCCAAACTGGAGGAGAATTGCAGCTGCTGTCATTACTGCTGCCCAGCTGATAACCGTTCTCTCAGAGCCCACAGAGCCCCTAATCCAGCCATTTCCCCTCAGCTGTTGTAGCTGTCATACATCAGCCATCTCTACCTTTCTAGGCTTGTGCCCTGTCTAGACACTGGGCTTTTGGCGCTCAAAGTATGTACGAATGGCTTCCTGTGATGTGCGCTGTAACGCAATATCTAGCATGCAGCAGAGAATGGCTTCCTGTGATGTGCGCTGTAACGCAGTATCTAGCATGGAGCATTTTTTCTTGCAGGTAAGTGACATCTATGAGCATTCAACTACTGAAATTTATAAAAGGGTATCACTGCAGTGATACCACTTAATGGTAAGTGACATCTATGAGCATTCAACTACTGGAATTTATAAAAGGGTATCACTGCAGTGGTACCACTTAAGGCAGTTTCAGGGCCTAGATACTAAATGAAGAAAAAGCTCTATTATGTTGTCTTGCTCATACAAGGGTTCTCATCTCCATATGCTTTAGGAAAATCTGAGTAATGAGTGTCAAACTGTGCTTTGTGCTTCCTTATCTTCAGCTACACTGTAGTGGCTTGTGTGCAAGATCTACTAGGCTGTAAATCTCCC